TTAGATTAACGAAAGAATTGTAACTAAGAATGTTTCTGTCCATTTTTAGATTTAACGAAAGAATTGTAACTAGGAATGTTTCTTTTCTATTTTTAGATTAACGAAAGAATTTGAACTAGGAATGTTTCCTGTCATTTTAGATTTAACGAAAGAATTGTAACTAAGAATGTTTCTGTTCATTTTAGATTAACGAAAGAATTGTAACTAAGGAATGTCTCTGTCATTTTATTAACAAAGAATTGTAAACTAAGAATGTTCTGTCATTTAGATAATACCAAAGAATTGTAACTTAAGAACGTTTCTGTCATTTTAGATTTAACAAAGAATTGTAACTAGAATTGTCTCTGTCATTTTAGATTAACGAAAGAATTGTAACTAAGAAGTGTTTCTGTCTTTTTAGGATTAACGAAAGAATTGTTTTAACTAAGTAATGTCTCTGTTCTTTTAGATTAACGAAAGAATTGTAACTAAGAATGTTTCTGTCATTTTAGATTAATCGAGCAAGAATTGTAACTAAGAATGTTTCTGTTCATTATTTAGATTAAACGAAAGAATTGTAACTAGGAATGTTTTCTGTCATTTTAGATTAACGAAAGAATTGTAACTAAGAATGTTTCTGTCATTTTTTTAACCGAAAGAAATTGTAACTAATAAATGTCTCTGTTCATTTTAGATTAACAAAAGAATTGTAACTAGAATGTTTCTGTCATTTTAGATTAACAAAAGAATTGAACTAAGAATGTCCTCTGTCATTTTAGATAACAACGAAAGAATATGTAACTAAGAATGTCTCTGTCATTTTAGATTAACGAAAGAATTGTAACTAAGAATGTCTCTGTCATTTTAGATTAACGAAAGAATTGTAACTAAGAATGTTTCTGTCATTTTAGATTAACGCAAGAATTGTAACTAGGAATGTTTCTGTCATTTTTTATCAACGAAAGAATTGTAACTAGGAATGTCTCTGTCATTTTAGATTAACAAAAGAATTGTAACTAGGAATTGTAACGAAAGAATTGTAACTAAGAATGTTTCTGTCATTTTAGATTAACAAAAGAATTGTAACTAAGAATGTTTTCTGTCATTTTAGATTAACGAAAGAATTGTAACTAAGAATGTTTCTGTCATTTTAGATTAACGAAAGAATTGTAACTAAGAATGTTTCTGTCATTTTAGATTAACGAAAGAATTGTAACTAAGAATGTTTCTGTCATTTTAGATTAACGAAAGAATTGTAACTAAGAATGTCTCTGTCATTTTAGATTAACGAAAGAATTGTAACTAAGAATGTTTCTGTCATTTTAGATTAACGAAAGAATTGTAACTAAGAATGTTTCTATCATTTTAGATTAACGAAAGAATTGTAACTAAGAATGTTTCTGTAATTTTTGATTAACGAAAGAATTGTAACTAAGAATGTAAAACGAAAGAATTGTAACTAAGAATGTTTCTGTCATTTAACACACATGAATACTGTATGCAAACATAATAAAATGTTCCGGAAACAAATATCATTCTGATTTTTTAATTAGGGATTTAACCAATTAACAATGTCTCTGTGAATATGCTATTCACTCTTTAGGAAAAATAGTCAATGTATTTCTTGCATACATGTATTCTAGATGCATTCTTTTTCAAAATTCATAAATAATAAATGCAGCAGATATACAGCTGTAATCACTTTAACAAGTAACTGACTAACCTTTTCAATTGATGTATTATTTCATATTCATATTTCTTACATGTATCTTATATAATTTCCTTATAAAAAAACAATAATATAATAACTTGAATGTATAAATACATACAATACATACATAGTGTTAAAAATAAAGAAAAATTTACATCCTGTGAGAATCCGTCAAGATTTATAAAACAAAGTAACACTAAAGTAAAATTATTCCCTGCAGAATTTTTTTAACTAACTTCCACGGCTTTCTTTTTTCTTTGAGGCATTTCAACAGAAATATCAAAAAAGAATCAACTTACTTACATGATCATGTTCATATATATGGAATGTATATCATTCAGATGCTTTTTACTTGTTTTTCTTATGCATTTGAACTCAAACCATGAAATATTTATACAGCAATGGGATCAAATTTCATTTTCTTATTTTTAGTTAAAGTGACATGTAAAGTAAGTCCAGTAAATTAAAACAATGAGATTCAGAACTTTGTTGGTTTGGTTACATTTCACATGGAAATAGCACCGAAACAAAAAAATTGATAATAATTACGCTTTACAAATAGCAAAATTATTAACTGTATTTAAAACCTTAAATTGTTGTTTTATGAGATAAGAAGTTACACTTAAAAACCCTAACTTGTGATAATGATTACAACGGCTAAACTGTGGTAAAATGAATTAAAACCCTTTAAATGAGAAAAAAAAGTTACACTTAAAACCTAAACTTGTTTTTGTTTAATGAGGTAAGAAGCTTTTAAATTTAAAACCGTAAGCTCAGTGGTTAATGAAAAAGTCAAATGCCAGAGATGAGTAGGGTACCTGTCATTTTTCAAGTTAAGGCCCAAGCCAATAGAATCAGAAAAGACAATACCTCCTCGGTAGATCGAAAACGCGGCAAATCTTCAGGGTTCAAGTAGATTTTCCCTCTTGCAACAGTACCACCAAATTGTTCTAAATTCAACAATCTGAAGCAAATTTATACAGAAATTAGAATCTAGTATACAGAAGCAGAGGTTTTTCGTTTATTTTATTTCCAAATGTTATATTTGAATGCCTCTGTTATAGGGACTGAACTTGCAGTGGTTAGTTGAAAGTAGTTTGTAGAATACAAAAATCAACATAACACTCACCAATATGTCCTTATACCAGTATTTTGTGACCAAAATAATGTAAAGAGCCATTTGACAAAAAAATATAACAAAATCGAATTTTCTATGATATACCTGAGACAATTTAATGGATATTAAACAATGGACAATTAAAGTACTGTATAATGTAAGGCATTAACCAAAAATCTAATGAATGTTAAAAAATCTTCACTTCATTTTCAAAGTTTTATTTACTCAGAGTGGTTAAAAAGGACACAATAGTATACTTTCAGGATTGTTAACTTCCTTATAGAATAATTTTATCATTTTGTTGGGGTTTTTTAAAATTGATGTTAAAGGCAAGAGATGCTTAATTTCACTTACGCATTGCCCAGGTCAATTTTAGCAGAAACTTTCTGTTTAAGGTCTTTTCAACCCTGTTCAGGCAGTAATTTTTTCTTGAAGTTATTTCCTTTCTCCAGAAAAAGCAGATACAATGAATCAGATCTTGCACTGTGTCAAAATTGGGGGATCATCCTCCTGCAGAAAAATAATATGAGCCCACCGCCGTCCATTGCGCACCAAAACCACCCACATTGCTGGCATTTTCGATCAAGACATGGATACAGACCAGCCCTGCCGCATCCGCGCAGTCTGATCAGAATCCATGCTGTTCACGCTTATCAAAGAACCCTATAAAAAAGTAGAGAAACTGATAAGGCAAACAGCATGGGATCCTGAATCAGAACTGTGGCGGATTTGCGCAGTGCTGGTCTGGATCCATGCTGGTCGCAAACTACACAAATATAGTATTTGGTTTTGGCGGTGACGCGGCTCAGTCATTGTTTATCATAATAAATTGAAAGGGTCAGAAAAAATGCTAAAATATCTAAAATTTGGATAACATTATTCTGGACAAAACATAAATTAGGAAAATCATTATCAAATCATAATTATAGAAATAACAAAAAGTAAAAACATTATCCTGATATCATAAAAAGCAACAACTGTCTCTGACATGATCATTTTATCCTGCAAAAAATAGATGTTTTTCAGGTAACTAATAAACAAAAGTCTGATAATTGTCATTATCTTTTTTTAAAAGGTAAGCCAGAATTAAAATTATTGGTGACACACAGTTCTGCCAGAAATGAGAACTAAATAGAACCATATTTCATCAGCAAGCTTATGAACTCATTCTAGATCAAAAAGCATAAATTTTAACCATTACCACCCTTAATATCTTTAAGACATTTGTCAACCTTTTTATCTGAACTAAACCTTTTCCGTTTTTTATAGAAAATTTCAAACTCTGTACTGATAGAATAACAAACATTGCAAGAACATGATCGGATGGCATAGACTGATTCATCGTGTAAAATTCATCACCGTCAGTTTGGTAAAAGTTTAAGCCACAACCATAGTGGGAAAGGCGAGGAATTAGCTGTCAGTAAAGTTAATTAAGAGGAAAGATCCTCACATCAAAGGGAAGTTTAGTTACTATAAGTCAGTCATACCACATATTGATTTTTGCCAGTACAAACACCATTCTCTAACAACAGATGTTATCTCTTGTGGCTATTGAAGGCTCCTTTGGTATTATTGTCTCTATTGATCTGAAATTTATGGAACATAATTGATAATAAAAGCACTATGTCATCCCTCACCTATGACTCATTTTCATTCAACCATCTGAATAGTAGGCAGCTTTATGAATAGAATATTTCACATACTAATAATTATAGTATTAAATAAGGAAAATTAAAGATCCTGTTACTCATTTTTTTATGGTTCTTATATCAAAAATATAATACTGAAATGAAGATTTATCAATAATGTAAGTTCCGAAAAGCATTATTTGTAAAGATATTACCGAATTTACATTTTCATGTTAATAAAGGGAGGTCATTAGAAATTTATTTTCTATAAAATCTAAGTCAAATTTTTCAATAAGAAATGAATGCATATATTTTAGTGATTACATATAATGTGGACAAATATTTGCAGTACATATTTTACATATTCTTCGATGAGAATTGTTTTTAATAAGTATATATATATATATATATATATATATATATATATATATATATATAATATATATATAACATATAAAATTTCACTTAAGTGTGGTAACAATCTTAATTACAACATACAGGATCTTTAACACTAAAAATTTACATTTTAGAGAAGACAATTTCTAAATATTTTAACTCCTTACAAGCGAACCAGGTAAAGTATTTAACTCACTGACATATGACAAATATAAATTCAAAATACAAGAAGTATACTCTTTCTCAGATTAAAAAAACAAACTACAAACCCTGACTGTACAATTGTAGCTTCCCTTAGGTGTATATAGTTTTTTGGGAAAATTCCAACAACAGACTTGTTCTTTGTTGCATAACCAAAATACCAATCTGTAAAAAGAAAAAGGAAAATTTAAAACAAGAGCTGTCGGTAGGACAGCAACGCTCGACTATTCTTAGTGCTTGATAGTAAAAAAAAATGCTTGATACAGTTACCTCCTCCTGTTTACAGGTTGGGGTCATGATGGTGAACAAGTGTGCAAAGTTTCAAAGCCATATGTCAATGGACTTTAAAAATATTTGAACTATTACAAAAACTTTAACATAAGTGGTTACGCCGACACAGACGCCGACACTGACGCCGACGCCGACGCTCGGGTGACTACAATAGCTCTACTTATTCTTATCGAATAGTCGAGCTAAAAATAGCAATAACAATAAACTCAACAACCCCCTCATTAAAGAGTTATCATTCAGAAACGGTTGGGTTTTATTTGGTGTTATTTTTATATTTCTTTTGCAAAAAAAAGAAAGAAGGAAAAAATTGGTGAAAAATTAGGTCTGAAACTAAATTGGAACACAACCTATATCCAAAATTGAGACACAAATAATGACCTTATAGCACAATCCTTCATTTTATTCCATTATCATGTCATCTATTTACAAATCTTACCTTAATGTGAAAACATGAAATAGTCATTTAATAATAATGAAAACATAAAAAAAAAAAACATATTTGAAAATATTACCATCTGATTCCTCTCTGAGACCACTGGTATCCCAACAACCAATGGCAAATATTGTTTGCCCTTTCGCCTTGAAGTGGTATATAACTGAAATACAGTAAATTCTCTTTATTAAGACCACTGATGGGACTGACTCAAATTTGGTCATTAAAGTGAATAAGCTGCTTTTAACAACTTATGAAGTCCCGACTAAACTAAAATGTACATGTACCCCATGTCCAACAATAAAGAAGAAAAACAACAAGAATATTTTGTTCTTTTGAAAAATGGCCATTAATAGTGGCATTTGGGGTATTTTACGGTCTGTAATCAATAAATAAAATAAATAAAATTATTTATCAATCCTTATTCTTTTTTTTTTTTTAATATTTTTTAATTATCTCATAAAAACATAAATGAACAATCATAACAATTTATCATCTTCAAGAGCCTGGTCATATTAACTATTAAACCTGCTGAATATAATTATTATGTAATTATGTTAATGTTTTTATATCTTAAAATAGTTATACATTGTTTGATATCAGACTTAATGTGTAAAATGACTGTTTGTTTCTTTTAAATTAATCTGCAGGTAAATTGACAACTGATATATTTGCAAAATAAACTTTTGGGAATTTTTTTCAATGTAAAAATACTGTTTCTTGTGTACTGCTGTTATTTGTTTCTTGAGAAATTACTTTAAAATATAATGTAAAATACACATAATTCTTATGCATATGATCTACATCAGAGTTTTCATCTACATCTGAGGCAACATATGTGCCAACAAAAACAACTGATTTGGCCAAGGGTCAAGGTGGATACCTCAATCTACATGCTGAAAATACAACTGATTTTAACAGCATTTCAACCAATGATATGGCCGAATCTGTTGATAATGAAAACCCTGATCTATACCTAGAATCACATAATGATCTTTACATTGTCCTCTATCTATCTCTCAATAATGTTCAAACCTCTCGCAAAGATGTAGACATATGATCTGCACCTATGTCGTATGAACTATGATATACATCTATATCATATAGATCAACACAAGAAATTATAATCTGCTTATACCTAACATGTATGTGTTTTCTTATATTATCGTTGGGGCTAAACTGGGTTGGGATAAAGTTTACATAATAAAACTCTTTTAGAGGGCTAGATTCTGTCGTATTCACTGTAGGCTCTTCCATGAATACAAAATCCAGTAATGTAATAGTCGCGCATCCCCATTGAAGGTTATCTAAGCCCATCAGTAATCTTCTGACATGCCCACTAAGACTCCCATGTTTACAATTTTTTGTAAATGTTTACATGATTGCCTAAAAACCGAAATGGATTGATGGTACTTCTATGTACTATACTTGGTATTCGAGTTGCCAAATGATTACTTACTTTTTATTTTTTATACATGTACGAATAAATATATTCAGGACTCATCATGAAAGATCAAAGGAAAAATAAATATCTAGATATATTCAAGTTTTTTCTATAAATTTGAACTCCAGACCTCTCGCTTCCTTAAACGAGCGGTGTAAACCCCTCGACTACGGGGAAGTTATAAGATAAGAGCTGAAGAAAACCACATTATTTCTAAATTATGGTTTGCAACCCTTAATAATTTCGATATACATGTATTTTGTTCACGGTAAAACCTGTTGTTTAACACTGATGTAAATAATCATGGGGCTTAAAATATACATGTAAACATGTTTATCTGTAAAGAATAACACAATATTAGAAATCTTCGACCAATCGGGAACTATTTTTTCTTCCCGGAGAAGGCTTGTAAATTAATGCACCTGTCATTTGACAATTTTATGCAGTGATCTCCTGATAACCCTTAATTTTTTGGCGTTAGTGTACTTATAAAGGGAAGTGACCTCTTCGAGGACTTTGGACTACTTTCGGATTTTGCAAATAAGCACATCAGTAGAGTTGGGTACCGCCAGAAAGAAAATACCACAGTATACCACGTTTTTTTCCTAAAAACCACGGTATAAACCGCAGTATACCACGGATTTTCATTGTACGCTATAGGTTAATTTTTATCTCTAAAATAAGTATCAAGGTAGGCTGGTATAGAATTTCAAATATCAAAATTAAGCAGATCTATAAAATACAGATTAATCAAAGCATCATTTAACTTTTTTTCATAAGGTACTTTCGCATGTTGACAATCATAAATTAATTGGGTCATGGATCAGTTCTTGTTGTTTTTTTTTATTATATATTGGTCTCTTTCAACATTTAACAACTGTTATATAAATTGCATAGTTAAAATGGAAAATAAAATGTTTTTATTGCTTATTGATTAATAAAAATAGGTCATATGCACGTTAGCCGATGACAAATATTTATTTGTTGGTTAATTTTATAACAGAGTCCCAGCTGCTATTGTAAATTTTTTTATTGCAAGAGCTAAGTATTTAATTTAATCTGTGTCAGAAAACCAAAACAAACATGTACCCCAAAAGCAAATTAAAATTATCACATAGAAAACAGCTGACCATGTTACTGCTTAAAATTAATATTCATTAGTTTGAACGAACATTACTTTTAATCCAGTTACTACACCGTTCTATAATTAGTTAATTGCCATGCGCATGCAGTAAGTGCGTGACGTAAGGAAAACCCCTAGCCTGATTGGTCGCTATTTATATAAATACTTAAAATTAGTTAACACCCTAATTTATGCAAGGAATGCCCTCATGAATTATCAATCTTTACGATTAGTTTTCGTATCAAATAAGCGATATTTGGGACAAGTAAGTGTAAGTCGACAATTCTTGCTTCTTCAACTGAAATCATGCAAGTCGACAATTCTGGCTAACATGCGGTAATCGATAAAGCATTCAATTTTCGCTAAGAACTATCGAAGAAATGATAACAGTCGGCGAAAGTTGTTTGCAAAAAGGTTAACTCAAAGAAACATTGACATATACAACAGAAAAAGTTTTTTAATTTAGTACATTTTACGGATCTGTAATTGTTTTAAATTAGAGCTAAAAGTACCGGTTTTCCAGGTCTGTACCGCGGTACGTACCGCAGATGTCTCGGACCGTGGTTTACCTGTATACCGGTTAAACCGCGCACCTCTACACATCAGGGTCTGAAATTTTGCTACCATTATTTGTTTGGTCTGACGTACCAAACAAATAATCAAAGCACAGAAGGCGCTATATTTGTTTGGGTCTCAGACAGAATGTCAGAAAGGTGAAGGTTGTGAGATTATAAACCAATTTGTTTTTGTATAGTGCCACCAATGCTTTCCAGTGTTTTAACTATAGTAAATTGGCTATAAGACTAATTGCAAAACTGATAGGCAATTCAATGTTCATTTGACTTAAAAAAAAATTTTAAAAATGAGTTGCATCAACTGGGATTTGAACTCCAGACCTCTCGATTCATAAGCGAGCGTACAAACCCCTCGGCCACGGTGAAGTTATATGTTAAAGGCCTGAAGAAAACCATATTATTCTAAACAAAGGTTTGTAACTCTTATTATTTCGACGCTAAACCTGTTGTTTAACACAGATGTAAATAATCATGAAGCTTTCTGTAAGCATGTATATCTATAAAGAATGAAACAATATTAGAAATCTTCCACCATTTGGGAACTACTTTGCTTGAAAATTAATGCGCCTGTCATTTGACAATCTTTACACATTGATCTCCCCTGAATTTTTCGGCGTTAGTGTACATATAAAGGGAAGTAACCACTTCAAAAAAGTGGACTACTTTAGGCATTTGCAATTAACAGCATTAGGCTCTGAGATTTCGCTACCATTATTTGTTTGGTCTGATGACCCAAACAAATAAAAATGTAAGCTATCTAATTTTTATTGTGAATAAATCAATAAGAATTGATAAAATTCATGATTACAGGTAATGACTAGGATATTTTGATAGAACAACTTAGTCATTTCCTTTAAACGATAAAAAATATTGTAAATGTTTACAAATGAAAATCAAAATGAATACGTTTAAACGTATTTCATATTGAGCATATTATCTCTATATAATCTCAACATGACAAATTGCCAGACTACCTTTACTTGTAACAAACCCTATACATATCCCATTCTTGTTTTCTATGAATATAAATTAATATCTTATGTCCATTTTTTTATTTCATACATTTTTTTATTTCACTTTTTAACTTTTTATAGTCAAGTGGTAAAGGGTCAACTCGGCACAATTCCAACTCGACACTGGCTAACTCGGCCCTTTATTAAAAAACCTTTTAGGATATAGATTGTCTAAATAATAAACTTTTTAAGGAGTAAATTACTACAAGAGTAATTCAGAGGTACAATGACTATTAAAACAAAAAGAAATTAAGTCGGCATCAAAAATTATTGCTTGAAATTATCTTTGTTAAGAAGAGATATCAAGACATGATGTTCAATGACTGATCTATTGATAAATAAAGTTTTCAGATTGACGGACGGAAAGACGGACGGACAGACAAGGGTAAATCTAAATGCCCGCCACTAATGTGGGGGCACAATAAACAAGCATGTTTATTATAGATAAAAGGTGATAATTGACCGTCTAATTGGATGACAGTCACTAACCTTTTGATCCAGTATAAACTATTTAATTTTCGAAGTTGATTTAACCTTTTCCCTTCTATAGTGTTTTGAGGGCTTTGTGCCCCCTCCCCCGCCCTTTTTGAGACCTCAAACAGTGAAATAATGCCTTATTTAGGCCCCAAACACTGTTTTTCGTTTGAGAAATGTTGTTAGAAAAATCGTAAATTCAAAATCTTAAATTCACTGACTGTTTAAAAAGTAATAACCAGTAATATATTATTATGGGCCAAGATGACCTGTGCTGAGTTGGTAAAGGGCCGAATTGACCTGGGGCCTCGTTGACCCGTAATCTAGTCAAGTTTGTGGCTCTACAAGCAGACTGTCTTACATTGTTGCTAGAGGTTTGAAAAAGAAGCGAAGAAATAAAAGAAAGGAAGGATAAATGGATTAATCGATAGATGACGGAATGATGGGTGGATCGATCAAGAAAGAAAAGGTGGGCAGACAGAT